GTGCTGTTGGTGGTATTTCTGGGAGAGTTGCCGGTGATGGCCGATTCAAGAGGCCTTTAAAGTGGTCAGCCCATTGCTTTATTTGTTTCTAGAATTAGTAAACTGGAAGCCTTTTAAATAAAAAGCTGCTAAACTAAGTGCTTTTCATACGACGTTGATTTTTGTCAGTTTTACTCATTCCTTATTGAACAGATAGCTGAGTGTTTTCGGTTGGAATAATTCAGTGCAATAATTAACTCTGGACTAAATAAAATGCAGAAAATCTTTCTTAAGTATCCAGCTTAGTGATCTAGCTGCATTATGCAACAGATTATTGATTTTCGAATGAGATTAGGAGAAGTAGACCTATAGATGCCTTGAGTGTGACAATGATGTGAGTTGATGAAGCGATTCATTTCTGTTTTGAGGTGTGTATAGAAGTCGAGTTTATGCAGTTGATGATGCCCAAATTAATCTATGTCAGTATCTTTATAAAACTTCAGTGATTCCACACACCACCAGAAATAATAATGCGGACATTTTGACTTTAAGCTTCAGTTCATTATCTTCTCCCTTCTCTGACTGGTTTCTGTACTATGACTCTTCCTCGATGTACTGTTTCGCGGTATGGAAACTTGTCTTTAGTAGAGTCATGCATGCGTGCCACTGACGATTCTTAAGTAAAGACAAAACAGCTGTCCAGTACTCTCTGATTTTCAGGGGTGCTCTAAATGAAATCAACCAAATCCGTACAAAATATCACCTGAAAATTATTCTAAGATTCACGACTGACATAATATAGGGTATATATATTTATATATATAGGGTACCTCTATATACCAAATGAAACTTAATCCGTTCACTGAGCCACAGAATACGTAAAATTTGCAGCCTGGCCGCCATGGAAGATGAAATGAACACTCTTAAGAAAATCCTCCTTGAAAATGGCTATCCAGAAAGATTTATCACAAAATCAATGAAACCCAGACCAGAGAAGCCGCCCACACCCAGTGCTCCAAAAGGCTTCTCTTTATGAACCTACAGTTCAATGGAGACCAATCTACAGAAATACTGAGAAATCGGCTCTCCCGCTCACTGAAGAAAACCTTCTTTGCAGCTGAATTATGACTGACGTTCTCCACGTGACCAGTGGTTCGCACGAACGTGAAGGATAAGCTACCGCTTTTGGCCTCATCTATGTGCATCTACCAATTCACCTGCTCATGTGGAGCCAGGTATATCGGCTGTATTCAGCGTTCGCTATCCAAACGTGTCAACGAACATTTACCTTCATGGTTTTATAAAGGAGATGCCCCCGCAGCTCGATCCTTGAACATTTGATCCACTCTGGACACCAAGTCAAACCAGAAATAAACTTCAGAGTTATCTACAGAATACAAGGCAATCTTGCTAAAAGTGTACGGATCAAACTTCTCCACATCACAGAAGCAATGGCAATTCATCGACTAAATCCTGAACTCTGCATGCAAAAGAAATTCGTTCATTCATTAAATCTACAACGGACGTAATCTTTCTTAATTTCAGTCTTACTAATTGTATTATTTTGTCTTTTGCATTTTATTATTTCAAGTCTTCATTTATATTATTCTCTACCCCACTCTTTTTTAATCTCTACCCTCAATAACAATGTTGCTAACTTGACCCACGTCCAATTTCTAGTCAACTGTGTTACATCATCCGATTAACTTACTAATTTTCAACTGTATTATTCTTTAACCCCACCCTTATTTGATTTTAAACACCACTCATCAATATTGTTACCAACCTGACCTAATCTGAATTCTACTCAACTGTATTCACTTAATCACTTCTATTTTATTTTCCATTTTAACGTTTGTCTCAAAGCCAAAAAATACTTATATTACATAATTATCTAAACTTTATAAATCTAATGTACACACACACAAACAAAATTGTATAAATATGCGATTGTACAGCTCAGTGAATGAATTCGCCGAAAAGAGTCTCTTCGCTGAACACCTTTTCTTTTATAGGATGAAATTGCCTTGAGTTGCAGTGATGTTCGGAGTTCCGACGATAAACACACCTAATTGTACGGCCTATGTAACTGGCTCACTCTACAAGAGAAGTGAAATTGGCAGATACCCATAGGAGAGGAGAAATTAGGTAGTTTATCTTTCACTCACGAATGCAATCTAGGGATGGTTTTAAAGACACAGCATAATTCACTAGCCCTGAATGCTCGTTTTACCGATTGTTCCCGCTGGAATCCAACATAAATTATTATGATAAGGTTAATGAGTTACACAGGGCTATTTGTCAAGAATACATACTCCTTACAAGTCATACGAATGTTAATATAATTCTCAGTTCTATTTTATCTTTTAACTCACTCATTTTGGTAGCAGTTAGAGGTATATCTGTTATTATGTGAAGTAGGACATAACAAAGTGTAATTAGTGATTGCATCATGAAAAAAGGCTTTGATTCATTTGCGGCTTAAGACACACAAGTCTCTTTCTTATCTTGTCTCTGCTTTGTGCTAATTTTAGCATCATATTTCTTAATTTACTAATGTGCCTTTTATTTGCCTTATCTTCAGTTTCGTCCTTTCTATTTGAGTTACAGAATTATGAGTTATAGCAATTAAGGAAATTACCTATTATTATTGTTTCCTTTAGTTCCTAGAGGAACATAGGGATTCAGTCACACGTCTCCATTGCATTTGGCTATCTGCAAACGTTTTCATCTTCTGGTTCCACGTCTGACTACATGCTTTCATCTCCTCTTCGCATCACCTCCTCCTCCATGTCACCCTCACACTGACGACCAACTTGCCGCTTTCCATTAGGTCGGGTTCAACTTCAGCAATGGCCTGGCTTGTGATGTCACTTGATGGCTAGTCCACCTCCATTTCTTCCTGCATATTTCTTGCACAATTGGTTCCTGCTGCGTTGGTTCTCTCAGAGAGATCCCTGTTGCTGATCTTTTCTGGTCGGCCATCTGATCTTGAGTTACACTGAGCGAAGACAGCTGTTGATGAAGGTCTATAGTTTGTTCGAAGTGGCCTTCGTGACGCAGCGCGGCTTCAAGTCTCTGATCCGTATAGTAAGTAGCACTGACTTCACATTGGAGTTGAAAATCCGCATCTTGTTTTCATTTTCATGCTGAGTAGTGTTGTTGACCTTCACACAGACTTGAGATTAATGAAAGCTTGCCTTGCTTTCCGAATCCTCACTGCTTCGATGCCCCTATCAGTTCCGTCAGCCTGTAGTTGAAACGATGCTTCCCAGGTGAAGGGGGTTGCTTCTTTGAGATTCCTCCCATTCATGTTGACTGATGTTTATTATTGTTGTTGTTGCTGTTGTCCAGGAATCTTCATCGTCTCTGTTTTCTATGCGTTCACCTGAAGTTCTATCTTCTCTGGATGCTTCTTCTATCACCAACTTGTTGCTTTTCACTTGCATATCTTCCAGCTTGTGAGAAATCAGACATATATCACATCGGTGAAACCCAAATCCTCCTTATTGCCACTCTCTGTCTGTCACATTATCCAGTCAACAAGAGCTTTTTTGCTAATTTCTCCGATTCATTGTGTATATGACATTAACGTGATAACAGTAGTTCATTAGGTTAGGTGTTTTATGTTGAAGGTTTGTACTAAATAGATTGATCCATTGATTATTTATTGTTTAAAAAAATTTTATTCCTTTGCGTTCCCAGTGGAACATACGGTTTTAAGCTAGAGCTTTGAAGTTTCTGTAGCAGTGGTCTCATTTTTTACAGGTTAGCATTGCTAGTCTCATGCCCAACCTTCCCTCTTTGCCGGGATTATCATTAGGTAAAAGAGGTTTGGGAGCCCATCGGCTGGGGATTGATTATTAGTATCGATAAAACACAAATTCTGTACATTATGGGCATCAAGAGGCGTACCGCACAAAATGCCATAGCTTCTGTAATGGATAGGGTACTGCTCGGAAGCCCAGAGAGAAGCAGGCGGTTGTCTAAAGGTGCCAACCCGGAGCCTTCAAATTGAAGTCTGATCCAGAAGACAGCTGGACAGCACCAGATGTTATGTTTCCATGGTTTCCGACAACCCAAAGGGGTTCATTCGTTCAGATTCTGGAATCCGTGTAAACTACAACTTTGGTTATTAGGGTTTCACATCTCTCCTAGGTAGACCAGTATGTCTGTAGGGGACTTATGTTAGAGTTCACTAGTATTACAAAATATGAGAAACAAAATTCAAGTCAATGGAATGTTAAGTAACAGTATATTACCAAAAATGCAACGATCCGTTATATCAACAATAGGGTTACTTGGAAATAATGTTTAAGTCCTCTGCTACAAATTATTTGTGTTCCGGTTGTAGAATTGTCTTCGGTTGAGCGTAGTGGACTTCTACAATAAATCCGAAAGATACAACACGGTGAGAGCTGAGCTAGTAAGCCGAAGAAACCAAGGAGAAGACGAAGTCTCCAACAGCAGAGTGTATTTTCCAATCGTACACGGAAGCCAAGGGTATTTCAACCAGAAGCGTTTTAAACAAAAATTATGTACAATATGTCTAATTTCTACAAATAACCAAAAAGTGTACAATCACATTGTTACGCACTCCACATGTCTGACAGTCTGGCTGTAAGTACCTGATGTTCACCTCCGGTCTCTCACTTTGCGAGGAACATTTCATGATGTTTGAACACAGTCAGTGGAATTTATCGAGCAGAGGCTGTGAATGCACAGACACAAGGGAGGATTTCGAGAGAAAGGCAGAAGATTTCCCTCTTTTGACCGCACTAGGTCGTTTATAGAGGCTCGCCAACCGTTAGAATTTAAGACATTGAGCAACCTACTCCTGTACTCTTTACATCCAGTTTTTCGTTTATTTCTTTTCTAAATTTTGATATTTAGACCGATATTTACCAATAATTCAGACAAGTTTGGGACCAATAGTAGACGTTGGTTTGAAGAGTGACACTAATTCAATTACCTTGATTACTGCCTGCTGTATGAAGAAAAAAGAAACTATGCATTCTGAAATGGAGGAGAGTTTGAAGGTGTATAACAAGTACACATTTGGTATTTACAATTTAGAAAAAAGTCAGTTTGACTGGAAAAGAGCTAATGTTATGTAAGTGACTGCCATTTATTTCGTGAATAGTTTACGCCTCAGATGCAATAATTTCCATCTTTATATGAGGAGATTTATATTTTCTTAGAAAGTGGAATATATATTTTTTATTTTTTTAATTATTCCCTTGCGTTCCAAATCAACCTGAGTACATCTCCACTTTGTTCTTATTTCCGCCATCCTCTTCAACTGGGTCGACGATTGACCAGACTCTCTCACCTCATCTTCACACGATCTCCCCTATGTCATTCTCTCACTGACGACACACTTGTCACTTCCCATTAGGATTCCACTCGAGCGATGGCCTGGAGTGCGATGTCATTCAGCGGCCTCCTCGGTGTATGTCCGATCCATCTCCACTTTCTCCGACATATTTGTTGAGCGATCATCTCTTGCGTGTTGATCTGTTCTCAGCCAGAGTTTCTTGTTGCTTATTCCTTCTGGCTAGCTAGCTGGCCATTTGATCTTGAGTATGGAGCCAGCGAAGGTTAAAGCTGTTGATGAAAGTCTGCAACAGGCTGTTGGAAATCCTTTTCGGGACACACAGTGCAAGTTTCTAACTTGTATGGAAGAACTGACTTGACATTGGTGTTGAACAGAATCCGAATCTTGTTCCTTATGTGACTTGAGTTCAGTGCAAAGGATTTTCAAATTGACTTCAGATTGATGAAGGCGCATCTTGCATTTCCAATTCTGACTGGTTTTGACATCTTCCTCCGTCCTGTGTGCCTATAATTGAAACGATGCTTCCTAGATAAGTGAAGGAACTAGCGTCTGTCAATTTTCTCCGGTTGATGCTGATTGGTGCTGGTTGTTGTTGCTGTTGATTGGTTATCTCTATCATCGTCTTCTGTATGTTCACCTGGAGTCCTGTCTTCTTTGACCGCTTCTTCTGCCAGTTTGTGGTTTTCTCCGAAAGATCATCATCTGTGAAATGCAGATCTGCCAGAGTCTTCTCATCAGTGATCCAGAGTATTCCTGACTCCTCCATCACAAGCACAGTCTGACGCATATGCAGTTCATTACAATTAAAAATATCATCGGTGATAACAGCAGACAGCCGGCCCTGTCTTACTCCTGTATTCACTTTGAACGCCTTGCTGAGTTTTCCGTTGTGGATAACCTGGTACATGGCATTGTCATATGGCCAGCTGTTGGATGAGTTTGATAAAGGCTAAGCCGCTGCACGCCGTAGTGTTGAAGTGGTTTCCAAATTAGTTCTTGGTATACGCTGTCGAATATATATATAAAACTTCAAAACTCTGAAACTAGTGTGGGGATCCATAGCATTTAGCACATCAAAGATGATCTGAATTTTTAATACTATCGTTCGCTTCACTATTTCTGTATGATTGATTCAAAGAGACTTAGAGTGCACATCACGGAAACTGGACTTTCACCAGCATATGCTGTCTCTGCTGCTCCAGTACTAAAACGCAGACGATCGGTGAGAAAATGTGAGAAAAATGAAACTCTGACAGGAAGCATATCAGCTAACAACAAATATATAGAAGGAGAAGATCACTGAGTGAGACCGCATTATTAGTAGTTGATGGAAATCTGTGTGAGATGGGGATGATCATGAAGTGAGGGAATCAATGCTGTTTGGCAGAGTTTGATACATTCTACTCGAAACGCACTGAGTAAATAATAACGTATTATTTTCATCGAATGTTTGATAATTTCGTAAACAGGCATTTGAAGCATGAGTGCATTCTTCACATGATTTATGTCATTTCACGTTTGGACCCCCACTCGATCCGTTGCTTCTCATTGGAGTCTCACATGATGGCCTGATGGAGCGTATCACCCAACTGTCTCCTTAGTTTATACTCTTTTTGCACCTCTGTTTCTTTCTAAGTGCATCAGTGGCGCTCACCAGGCACTCAGGAGGTCCGGGGTTCGATCCACTGCCAACGCACTCTCAAAGCTCCCTTTGCTGGTAATAAACCAGGCAAAGAGGGGAGGTTGGGCCTGAAACTATCAATTTCCTCTGGTTAAAATGAAAACACTTCCACCGAAACTTCAAAGCACTTTCTTGAACCCCTATTTTCCACTGGGAACGCAAAGGAATAAAATAAATAAAAATCTTCCTTTTACATACTTTTGGGCATTAGTTTGTTAGCTGGTTGACTGGTAGTCAGATTTTTCCTATTGCTCATGTTTTCTGGTCATCCATCTGATCTTCTGAGGTCGAGTTTGGACAGCTGTTGTTAAAAGTTTGCAGTGGCTTGTTCGAAATTCGTTTGATGATTATTATTTCGTTTTTTCGTTTACAGCTTGATTCCACACATTACTTTTGGTAGAAGTATGGAATTTTCAGCATGGATATCAGTAGCCCAAATTTTCCAGGCCGACCATAGATATCGGGCGTGAGTCGGCAGGTAATCGAACCCCGGACCATGTGCATGGTTGGCGGGAGTCCTAACCACTGTGCTACCGACGCACGCTTCAGGTATCTGAAACCCTATAGAATCACTTACGTGACATTAATGTTGTTTCCTGTGCTGAGTGCCATGGATCTCTAAAATTATTTCAGAGCAATGAACCCATGTCCTTCTTTTTCCTCATCCTGGGTGTCTTTTACATCTTCACCAGTTCCGCGCTGTATCAGAATAATGTTGTCTAGGTGGATGAAGAGATGATATTCTTTGGATTTCTTTCATTTATGGAGACTGATAACCTCGCCCAGTTTACTAGCTCGCTAGCACGCACAGAACTGCCTGCAAGTGGACACCAATCCCCCAACAAAAGCGGAAGTCTTGTGTGAAGTCAATCTACTGATAACCAGCCGGGAAGGCAGCAGGACAAGACGGAATTCCCCGAAGCACTGATAACGGACCCAGAGACTGTATCAGATGTGCTCACACCATTACCGCAAAAGATTTGGTAAGATGAACAGGTACACGCCGATTGGAAGAAAGGCTACCTCGTCAAGCTGCCAAAGGAGGGCAACCTAGGCCTCACTGTGCGAGTACTGACTGGCGTGGAATAATGCTCTTGTTCACGACAGGTGAAATACTAAGTCGCATCATCCTGGAGAGAATAAAAGATACACTGGATGCAGAACTCCAACCCACCGACCAGAACAAGCTGGATTCAGGGAAGGCATATCATGTACTGATCAAATCGCAACTCCATGCATCATCATTATCGAGGAAACCATAGAATGGCAGTCAAATCTATACCTCAACTTCATCGAATTTGACAGCGTTGGCAGCCAAGTCTCTATCAACCCCATTCAACATCTGGCTATATGGCAATGCCTCGTGTCAAGTGATCCACAACGGAAAACTCAGCATAGCGTTCAAAGTGAATACAGGAGTAAGACAAGGTTGGCTGGTTGCCTATTATCACCGATGATATTCTTAATTGTGGTCGACTGGATTATGGATCAGACTGTGCTTGGGAACGAGGAGTCAGGAATAGGCTGGACCACCGATAAGAAGACTCTAGTTATCTGGATTTCGCACGTGAGGGATTTATGTTTAATGTTAGACACATAAACTCGGTGACTTGCAGGCGAAAACCTACAAACAAACTGGTTGAGGAAGCATGTGGCGAAGACAGGACTCTAGGTGAACATAGAGAAGACGGAGATGATGAAGATAACCAACCAACAGTTACATGAAACAGCATGAATCACCATCAACCGGAAAAAATTGACAGAAGTTAGTTCCTTCACTTATCTAGGAAGCATAGCTTCAAACACAGGGAGTCGGATAGTACAGATGAAGATGGAAATTTTAGAATCGAAAGGGCGAGGCACGCCTTCATCAATCTGAAGTCAGTTTGAAAATCCTCTGCACTGCGCTCAAGTAGCATAAACAACAAGATTCGTACTCTATTCAACGTAAATGTGAAGTCAGTCAATCATTTCTTCAATATGGGATAGAAAATTGCAGTGAGTGTCCTGAAAGGGATTTCCAACAGACTACTGCAGATTTTTACTGACAACTGCCATACTTAAGATCAAATGACCACCCGGCCAGAAAGATTTAGCAGCGAGAAACTCTGGCTGCCAAAAAATCAACTAATAGCCTACCACCCGACAAATATATAGAAGAAAATAGAGATGGATTGATCGGGCACACATTAAGGAAATCATCGAACTGCATCACCCTGAATGCAAGTAATCTCTCGAGTGGAATCCCAATGGAAAGCCACGACTGAATTGTCAGTGCGAGGACGAGATGAGAGATTATAGGCAATCATGGAGCTAGCCAGATGAAGAGGACAGCCGAAAATAGAACAAAGTGGAGATCTGCTCAGATTGAAGCCCTTTGTTCCACTTGGAACCCTAAGGAATTATAATAATCATGTGGTGACTGGTGTTTACTGGCCGGTCCTTATTTCAGAAAAGACGAAAGATGCATTATGAGGTCAGTCAGCTCACCCCATGGAAGAAATTTTAAACCGCACTGAACACATTTCGTATGTGATGTCTTCTACTACAGAATAAAAACAAGAAAGACGGATAGAATGATAGAGAGAACCATATAAGCAACTGTCATTGGATAATCAAATGCCCCTAGAGCAACAGAAACGATATTATTTAGAAGTAGTGAGATGAATTCAAGTTTGATTTTTATAATTTGTCCAAATGAACATCCCATTTAGCTACATCAATCTTGTACTTTATTATTAATATTACTATAATTCATGTCTCCTTTTAACCCCCCCTTTATTCAACTAAACTAGGAGACTGGATAATTTTCGTTGTCGAGCAATCACTGTGCTGAACACGGATGACAGCTTCACGGTAAGTATTCACATTTTTATACTGATGACAAAGAATGTTCGTTATAAAATATTGAAAATAATAATTCCAGCGTATTTAGGAAAAAATCAAAGCAAGATATCTCTGAACGTTTTGCAGAGTTGTAAGCCAGAGCTTCTTCAGCAGAAATACTCACATTTTATTAACCACCATGAAAATATGTAGTCAAAAATTGCATAGATTGAAGTCAGTTCAAATAAAGTATAATTATAAGTTAATTGGTGGATAGTGACTAGCAGTGGAATCCACAAGTATAATGCGCATTTCGTCCTATTTGGGACTCGTCACTGGATGTACCTGCATTCCATTTTGAATGAGTGATGATGTTCCCACCGAGGCTCAAACCCAGTGGCCATATTTTCAAATGCCAAAGCGTTATCCACTAGACCACTTGGGCCGCGAGAGCCACCTGTTATACAATGAGTTATATTAATTATTTAATTCAATTTTAGATGTTCCCGTCTATTGAATGGACTGAAGTGCTTGGTCTCAGGTTGAAAGGTCGGCTTCTTGTGCAGATGCTTCGATGATGTCTGAGCATGCTGTTAGGAGTAAATTGGTGGATGGTAACTAGTATAATTATATTTCAGTGGTTTACACACGGTGATAAGTTTTTTGTTTTTTGGTAATATTTCAGGCAAAAGTACTGCGTGTTATCAAACCAAGTGTTGGAATTGTTTTGTTTTTAATTCACACATTTATGATTTGTATTCATATATATATTTGATTTCCTTTTGTTCATTCATTTTTTTGTATCCAGAGTTATAGTATTATTATTATTGTTTCCTTTAATTTCTAGAGGGACATAGGGCTTCAGCTGTGCATCTCCATTGCGTTCAGTTCTCTGCTAGGGTCTTCACCTGGCCCCAAGTCTGCCCACATGCCTTCATCTCCTCTTCACATGACCTCCTCCAAGTCACCCTTGCACTGACGACCAACTCGCCGCTTCCCTTTCGGCCAGGTTCCACTCGAGCAATGGCTTGTCTAGTGATGTCACTTGACGGCTTGTTTTCTCAGAGTATGGTCAATCCATCTCCATTTCCTTCTGCATATTTGTTTCACAATCGGTTCCTGGTTGGTTTGCTCCCACAGGTCCCTATTGCTGATCTTTTCTGACCATCTGATCTTGAGTATTGAGCGAAGACAGCTGGCTGTTGATGAAGGTCTGTAGTTTGTTTAAGATGCTCTTTATGACGCGCTGGTCAAGTCTCTGATCCGTATGTATAGTAGCACTGACTTCACATTGGAGTTGAAAATCCGGATCTTATTTTTGATGCTGAGTAGTGTGCTGTTGACCTTTACACAGAATTAAGAGTAGTGAACGCTTGTCTTGCTTTTCCGATTCTTGCTTTGATATCCTCATCAGTTCCGCTGGCCTGTAGTTGAAACGATGCTTCCCAGGTAGGTAAGTGAAAGAGGTTGTTTCTTTCAGGTTCCTCCCATTTATGCTGGCTGATTGTTGTCAGTTGTTGTTGTTGCTGTTGGTGGTGTTGCCCAGGAATCTTCATCACCTCTGTTTTCTCTATGTTCACCTGAAGTCCTATCTTTGATGCTTCTTTTATTGCCAACTTGTTGCTTTCCGTTTGCATATCTTCCAATTTGTGGGAAATCAGACATATATCATCGGCGAAGTCCAGATCCTCCAAGATATTTGTGTGAGTCCGTTTTATGCCTGTTTCCCCATTACCCGCGAGTCATAATATTCCAGGTTGTTAATAGTTGTGCTACTGAGTCACCCTTGTTACATGTATCCGGTGTGACATTAATGAATATATATTCTATTATAAGTCTCTCTTTCCATTTGTTCATATTAGATTTCGGAATACAAACATTATTCCAATCCTTATTGCAGTTTTTGTCCCATGCATGTACATCTATAGATGAATTTTTTCCAAGATTCGTGTAAGCTTGTGTTCTCGCGGGATGACCTTTAGTTTGGCATTTATATTCATTCACTCTTATTTTGAGTGATCTGGACGTTTGACCAATATATTTAGTCGGACACTCGGCGCAAGATATCTGTTTGTAAATTACATTACTACTTTTATCCATCATTTTTTATTGGACCTTTCGGTTGATTTATTTTATTCTTAATTAGATTCGTCTGTTTGAACGTCGTGCGAATCCCAATATATTTTTTTGAGTTTTCCTTAAATTGCCTCTAGTGTACCATTTTTGTATGGTATTGTGACTGTTTTTCGCCTTCTTCCTTCTTGTTGTTCTCTGGTTTTACCCTCCTTTTTCCCTTTTTTGTATTATTTCTGATGAATTCTTTTGGGGAGTTGTTGTCGAGTAACATTTTCAATAGGACGTTAATTTCTTTTCTCTGGTCATATCGTGTTGTTGCAAGTCTACGTATTCTATCCGCAAGACCTTGTATTAATCCTCGTTTTACCGTGAGTGGATGATCTATGTGACATTCAAGGAATCTCCTAGAAGGTGTAGTTTTTCTATAAATGTCGTCTTTTTTATGCAGCCATCTGTTGTTCTTTGTAATTTGTAGTCAAACATAGGCAGTTCCCCAATTTCACCCTGTATTTCCATAATGAATCGCATTGAGTCGATATGACTGTTTATGCATGGGGAGAATTTCTCCATATCATTCTTTTTCATTATTACTGACGTGTCGACTACATATCTCCACCAACACTTTAATGATCAATCTTAATTGTTTAAGTGCATTCTTTTCCCAAAAATCCATGAATATGTCAGCTATTATTGGTGAGATGAATGATCCCATGGCTACTCCTCCTTCGTTTTGTTGGTATGTTTTCCCTTCAAATGTAAAATATGTTGTTGTCAGACAAAATTCCACTCCTTTTATTATCTCTTCTATGGATAACTGTGTTCTATCTTTTAGGCCATTATCTTCTTTTAGTTTCTCTTTCAGTGCATTCACAGCCATTTGCCTGGGTATTTTCGTATAGAGACTGTTTACATCAAAGCTGACCAGTATTTCATCTTCCTCTATTTTAGTGATTTTTAGTTGTCTCACTAATTCAAATGAATCTACTATTCTAGCTTTTGAGTTGTCTCTTGTTGGTCTTAGTATTGTTGAAAGAAATACTGATAGCCTACACGTTGGTGCATTTCTAAAATTTATGATGAAGTCAGTTTATTTTGACGGTTAATTGTCGGTAGACATTTATGCTAATAGAAAAGTGTAAACAGTCATCACATATTTGTAATGACTAATGTAAAATTGGATGGAGATTTTCATCATGAGCAGACATCAGTTAGAGAACCACTAGAAAACCACCTGGGAGTACTGGACAGCTGTTTTGTCAACCTTGTTTGGGACTCTTCACCAGTACGCACCCACCAACAGAGTTCGAACCCAGGACCTTCTGGTTACAAGGCAGGCGAGCGACCTCGTAGACCATTGAGCCACTGGAACCCAATCCAATGACCCATGAATTCTAACTTCTACCGATTATCGTATTTTCACTGATTAAAAATGCCCATTAAAATTTTCAAAAGAATGGACACGCAACAAAGAGTACTCTTTTCGATAAATTCATCATCAGGTTCTACAATTATATATACAATATAATGAATGAATGAATTAGTGTTATGAACAACATTAATGTTGTTTAAATAACATCAAATCAATAATAATCGTACTTCTAGGGATCAGTCCTATAGTACGTATCACCAGGACGTCAAACAAACTTGACCCTGGCTAACCAACCGCGATGATGATCAGTGCGGCCAAGTCCCGAGAGTGAAGCGGGTGTGTGGCTGTCCGTCTGGCTGGCTGCTTATGGCGTCAGTAAGTGCGGACTCGGCCGCCTCCTTGTTCGATCGTCCAGCCGGACTGAGGAGGGTGCGCGAAAGCGTCACCATTCCCATTCGGTATGGAGGAACTGGCCTGTGCTGAGCGGAAATTGTGCGTCGGTGGCATAGTGGTTAGGACGCTCGCCAACCATGCACATGGTCCGGGGTTCGATCCCCGGCCACCGACGCACTCCTTTACCTCGCTAAGCCAGAAATAACGCTGGTGAAGAGGAAAGGTTGGGCATGAGGCTAGCAACCCCATCCTGTAAAATAAACACTGCTACAGAAACTTCAAGCCACTAGCTTGAAGCCCTATGTTCCACTGGGGAACGTGAAGGAAAAAAAAACAGCTGAACAGCATCAACATAAAAATAAGCTGAATGTCTGTGTGTGAATGTGTGTGCATGTTGTTTGTTGTGTGGAAAAGACGTCGAAACATTTGTTTTGCTTCATTATAATCTGCCATATAAGTGATAAGTCTATCCCTTTCCTCTTATTCACCACATTCGATGTGGTTAAAAGATGCAAGGCTTCAGTGGTCAGCCTATCTTTATGTGTTGAATGAAATCCTCTTCCAAGAATTTCGACATTGTCGAAATCAATCTTATGTTTTCTGTCTATAGCAGTGCGCATTGCAATAGCTGATATTTTTTTCTAGACTTTTTAATTCTACTTCATTTATCGGGGGATGTTTCTTGCATAGTCTATGTTCATTCACTCTGACCTTCACCTTTCTACTACTCTCCCTCCTATATAGCACACTTCACATTCTGAACACTTTATCATATAGACACAATTACTTTGTGGCATTTTGGGAACCACATCTCTGACGTTCACCAAAGCTTTCTTAAGAGAATTAGAGGGCTTAAAATAGAAATAAGGATAAAACTTGGGCACTGTGGTAGAGTATAACTCCATTATGGATAAAATTTTATTTGGATAAAATTACACAGTGTTGTACAGTAATACTTACTGATGACCATGTTTCGAGCACAATTTATTACTGCTCATAATCATATGCATCGATGTGCAGCAGTTTCAGTCGCCACATTTCACTAAGCACACAGAGCCAGAAAAGAAGATAAAAAGAAATGCTGAATAGGGACAGTAAACACAGATACGGGGCAGAAAGAATGGTAATATTGAAGAACAGTATAGTTTCACTGGAAATCATAAGTCACAGGGAGTGGATGCATCTGCGCCAACCATTGAGAACGATTTTGATCCATGTCACCAATTGTTTCCAACCATTGGGTTTTACCACCCCGAGGACTCAAACCAGGAAGTCTACACCTTCCTACGTGACTGGTGCCATGTTTTGGTTTGACCGCCGCTAGCTCTTTTCCAGCCTGACCCTATGTCAGTTCACTTTGCCTGTTGAGGAAGGCGATGACTAGGGATGCATCCGTAACACATGTCTTAACCATCTCACTCGATATAATTTCACAGTCTCGTCGACTAATTTCCCCGCCTTACCTAGCACTCGACTGAGGCCTAACCTCAATATTGCTCGCCTTATTATAACACTTCACACGGGAGATAGAACGCAGACACCTATGATCGAACACAGCTAATCTTTTCATGTCTTCCACTCTCAATGGCCAGGTCTCACAGCCATAAAGGAGGACGGAGAGGACTGTTGAGCAGTACACACGCCCTTTGGTCGATAGTCGGATATCACGTCTACGCCAGAGACGGCGTAAACTGGCATATGTGAAACTAGCCCTCTGTATTCGTGCTGAGATTTCGTCAGAGATCATACCGTTGGCACTGGCTGATGGTACTTCCCAAGTAATTGAAGCGGTCAACGTGCTCTACCACTTCATTTCCTATTTCTAAGACAGAAGTCAGTGCAGTCCAGTCCTATAACATCATCTTACATTTGGCGGGAGCGAATCGCATGTCAAACATTCTTAGATTGCATCTCAAGGTGTTCAGAAGACTCTGCATTTTGTCAGCGTCTTCACCTAGGAAGGAGGATTATATCATCTGCATATTCTAAGTCGACGAGATTATTCCCTGGTGGTAACAAGTCGATCCCTGAGTCTGTGAATTGAGTTGGGGTTAAGTCCTTTAGTACATCTATGATGAAATTGAATAGAAATGGAGGTAATGGGCATCCCTGACGGACACCACTATTTCTCACCACTTCAGATGACAACTGGCCATAAGCCCTCACCTGGTTACATGAGTGCATGTAGAGTGCTTTGATCAGTGCAATGTATTAATCGATGAATAGACATTTGAATAAAAATCAATAGAAGAGAAAGTACATTCAGAAATGATATTAATGTTATCAATCAAGTACAATCAGATGGGAAACAAGAATTTTTCATAGCAAAATAAATAAGTAACATGTTAGAATGTTATAATCTGAATTGAAGTACATTTTAACATTATTTATTATCCTCCTCTGATTTGACTGGTGGTATTAATATCTTCCATATATATCTCTGGTATTTGCGTTGAGTCATTTCTCTTGTACTATGTGTTAGGTGTAGACTCGATGAACCAGGATTCAGGAATCAGTCTCTCTCTCTCTTTATTTACCTACATTACTTTTTAGAATTTTTACTCTGTTCCACACACCCCATTGAATGTGTGGTTGTGTGTTAATGCATGCAGTGCGATTGCTGAATTTTTCTCTAAATTATTTATCTTCGCGCGTGGGATCAATCATTCTAATCTTAGCTAAATTCTTATGTTCTGACAGGCAATCTCACTACTCCCGATCAACTAGTTTGACCTATGTAGTTAACCTAACTCACAGTCATTGCAGGGTATTTTGTAAATTATATGATTTTGTTTAATTGGGTCCAGCGGGTCCTCTAGCTTACAGGGCTTGTCTCTGCGTGATCTTGTAGGTTTAAATATCACCCTGATTCCTGCTGTATTGAAAATTCTACCAGGTAGGGTCTCAGATGTCTCCTTCTTATATATGTGAGTGCCTTGATAAGATTTGTACTCGAAACATGGTCATCAGTAAATATTACTGTACAACACTATGTGATTTTATCAAAATAAAATTTTATCCATAATGGACTTGAAATAGATTTTAATATTATATGAAGCAAGTAGTCTTTGAAATTGTTCAGCTGTTAACTTTCGATATGGAATGGCTGTCAACGTGAATGACATCGCGCTCAAGGCGCACCCTTGATTGGGAGCAGAATAGGAAATAGTGTGTTGAGCGTTTTAGGGTGACATTGGAGGAGATCATGGGAGGAGGAGGTGACAGTCTACTGGCAATCATAGATCCAAAAAGAGAGGACTGAAGAGGAGAGGTTAAGAAGTAAATGCGCTGTTGAAACCCTTCGTTGTCTTTAAAACCAAAGGAAACATTATAATAAAACCTAACAATATGTTTTCAAGAGTTGAGATTTTGCACTGTTAAGAATCCTCCACCGTAAGCTTTGCGAGGTTCCTTTTTTGTATGTAAATAATACTGATGATTTAAATTCCCTGTTGCTGGCGTTGTCATTATCCTGAGCATGTTCGATATGCGTGTTGTCATTAATATTATTATTACTATCACTACTATTATTATTGATTTTATTTTCACATTTCCCTACATACTTTCTGGTTAATTTATCGAGGTTGTTAATAAGTTTCAAAGCTTCTCTTATATGCCTCTTTTCCTGTCTTAGATTTTTTTTGGTACACCAGAGTAACGAGTCCCAGTGAGGGGACAAAATGTGCATCTAGTGCTTTGCACTTTCCAGTAAATGAAAGCCTTTACTATATTTTACAGCCAAATCTTTGCTAGTCATCTACCTCGGTCTTAAAGTAAACTGACCTTATCATTGACTTGAAATCTTCCTTCTGTAATCCGTTACTTTGGTTGGTGGGTTTCATCAATAGCTGACATCAGTTAGAGAACCATCGGAAAACCTGCTGGGAGTACTGGACAGTCAGCTGTTTTGTCCTAGTTTGGGACTCTTCAACAGTGCTCACCCGCCGGGGTTCGAAACCAGGATGTTCTCGTTACAAGGCTAGCGAGCTCGTAGACCATTCCGCAGCCACTGGTACCTGATGCATTGGCCCATGAAATCCTCCAATCAATCAAACAAAATCCCTGTAAAAAAACCAATACTTGGAAATTTGTCTCTTTATTTAAGTATCGATTGATAAACGTACTGAAAAACACAAAACACAAACGAAAAAGAATTCTTCTTGTTGACAAATATCCACTCGCTGTACTATTTTTCTCTCTCAGTAGTCAAAACAAAAATATTTTTTATTTTTGAGAGTAACTCTCATTAAATCACCTTTCAATCTTCATCTACCTTATCTTATTTTCATCATCAATATCTTTATTGCAACTAGATTATTGTCTGTCTAATGTCAACAAAAGATTTGTTGATCTTCCCACTGAACTCTACTCTGCATGATAATCAAGAGGATAAACTCAATCAGTCGTTAGATGAATATATCAATGAAAATCGACCAGTTCAACAGGCAGACACGAATCCAAACAGGAGATTTTTACAGAATACTATTCACATTAGCCTGCCTAATCCATATGAAATTAACTTGAACACAGGAACTGTTAGCTTATTTCCAGAGATGAATGAAAAATGGATTGATAATATGGAATTATTTAATCAATTGTGTTTAACTTCTATCCGACGAATATCAGATACGGACATTTATGACGATGGTAACACTGCTCGAGTGATGAATGACGAAGGAGAGAAGGACACACTGAATGCCTATCACTTATGGATTAGAGGTAGGTAAAATAACATTGACGAAATCTGTTAATGCTTAGAATTTCTAGAATTTTTTGTCAGCTTAATAACACCTTAGATGTAATAAGCACAAAACTGTTGGTTTGTTCACTTTTGGGTTTCATTAGAAGTGAAACGTCGTTAATTTGTTATGACTACAATGTTGGTATTGAGTGATTGTGTTTGCATTTGTTAGTCTGCATCTTGTTAGTTTAATTGATTCATTACAGAGTGTAAAAAAGGATCACTGTTCAAGCGTGGGTAAAGGTATTCGAATGGTATTCACCTGGTAGTGTTCAGCGTAGCTTCTCGCTATTCGTTCACAGTGATTCGATTGCTCTTCAATGAAGCAATTTTTCTAAATGTTTGGAATGACTGAGTGAACTTCAAAATAGAGCTTTGTATTGAAGAACAGCAGCTCAGCTTGTCACACTCTATGTAGCACATTAAGGTAGAAACCTGAGGCGGGAAAAAATAGTGACATGGAAAACCAGTGATGGTTTAGTCGATTTGCGTACTCACGAAGAATAAATGTATGCGCTCCACTGAATATGGATCTGAGACATATCAGCAATACTCTCCAACCATTAGTTCGTAGCATCGTGAGTACCCTACCTAATCAGACAGCCTACAACTCTCTACGTGGCTAAAACTGATTGCCAAAGATTTTGTGTGCTGATTTCAGGTTTTCACTTGACCCGCCTAACATTTCTCCCACCCACCGCTATGTTGGCCAATATCGCTTATCGAGGAAGGCGATAACTCGGCAACTGTAACACCTGCCCTGATCATCTTAGTCAATCTAGCTTCACAGCCTCATCTATGACCTACCGTGAATACCTCACACTGGACGATTAATCTCAGTATCAGTATGTTTTTACGAGTTGATCACGGACTGATATCACAGAACCATTGAAAACCAGGGAGTGGTGGACAGCTGTTCCATCCAAGTCTGTGAATCATTGGCAATACTCACCCACCCAGTCAAGCATGAGGATGGAAATCCCACCGATGACATTGGTTGGTCGCGCTACATCACGAAATAGTAGAATTTATTTTACTTATTTTTTTTATTTTGATTTACAGCTTGATTCCACACCGTATTTTCAGTACAAGTGTGGAATTTTCAGCATGGATATCGGTAGCCCAAATTCAGGCCGACCATAGATATCGGGTGTGCGCCGGTAGGGGCTCGAACCCCGGACCATGTGCATGGTTAGCGAATTCATGGGCCATAGAATCAGGTCCCAGTGACTGAGTGGTATACGAGCTTGCCTTGTAACCAGAAGGTCCTGGGTGCAAACCCTTGTGGTGGGTTCATACTGCCGATGATTCCCAAACTAGGATGGAATAGCTGGCTGTTCAGTACTCAGGTTCTGGTTTTCAATGGTTCTCCAACTGACATTAATCCGTGATCAACTCGTAAAAACAAATCTGGTCTTTATAAATCAGTATTAATAACCATATTATACCACTTAACATGGAAAATAGAAAGCAAACATTTGTGGTCAAAGACACTTAGTCTTTTCATGCCTTCCACTAGAAATGGTCATGCCTCACAACCACAAAGGAGGTCAGAGGGAACGGTTGTGCACTATGCACGCCATTTTGATGTGGTTGTGTTCTCTGAGCCGGATAGTTAATTTGTGAAGCTTTCATCATCCTACTAGGCGACATCTTCAGCGCATACTTCAATTTGAAGTGAGCTCTTAGATTTCTCCACGAGTTTATTACTCATCTCTCCCGGTAACCTTGGATGTGATTGGCTGTTTTTGTGTTTTCACACCTTCTGAGTTACTTGTATTGTAATTCATTGTTTCTTTGGCTTGAACTTTGACCCTGTGTGTGTGAGATTTCCTACTTATCGGTTGATAAATTTTGTCTATCTCGATGTGTCCATTGATTGATGATTCACAAAGAAAATCGCCTTACCATATATAAAAGACATATCAGAAGTCACTCCAAGACTCTTCAAACCTTTAGGAATTGACGTCGTACACAAACCAACGAAGTTACTTCACTCAGTTCTATGTCAACCAAAAGACTCAACAGAGAAAGAAGATAAAACCAACATCATCTACAAAATAGATTGTATCAACTGCGAAAAACACTATATTGGCCAACGTGGACGTCCCCTTCGTCTTCGTATCCACGAACATAAGCTAGCTGTCAAAAGACATGATATCCACTCCGTCATATCACTACATACAGACAACCAAGGACATCAATTCGATTGGGACAACGTTCAAATATTGGACAGAGGAAACAACAAAAATGCTAGAGAATTTTTAGAAGCCCACCTGGTATTCCAGTGAATCATCAATCAATAGACACATGGAGATAGACAAAATTGATCAACCGATAAGAAAGAAATCTCACACACAGAGGGTCAAAGTTCAAGTCAAGGGAACAACCAGTTCCAATACAAGTAGCCTGGAAGGTGTGAAAACACACAAAAGCAACCAATCACGCCCAACGTCATTGGGAGAGATGATTGATAAACTCGTTGAGAAATCTAATAGGTTACTTCAAATTGAAGTACGCGTTGAAGATGTCACCTAATAGGAAGATGAAAGCTTCGCAAATTAACTATCCAGCTCAGAGAACACAACCACACCAAAACCATCCACCTGAGCTACAAATCTTCTCTATCATATCTACACTCCATTTGACTGATGGGCGGATATCATCTCCACGCAGAAGATGATGTAACTGGGCAGATGCTGAGATATTTCCAGTGATCAATTCATTGGGGCTAATGTTGACTTATTATTCATGATGTCTGTTGTGAGTTAACTCTGTTAATTTTTCATCAAATTTCGTAAATCGACTTTGAACAAGTATTTTCAATTTTAAAAAATAAGTTTTCACGTTTGTCATTCATAGATGTCAATGTTTCACTGTCCAATTATGATGAAACGATGAATTGCGTGATGTTAAATGTGGGTGTAAAATGAAAACTTAAGGAGAGAAATTGATTGATTAGATGGCTGAAATATATGCTGCGAGGACGAGTTCAGTGCTATTTATGAGTTAACATTGTTAGTTGAAGTAATATGTGGTTATGAGGCAGATTAGGGATAAAGAGAATGAAGTATGTTGTCTGTCTAGAGGTGTTCTGACTGCTAGCTTGAGGTGTATAGCAAAGTGCCAGTTTGTTTATTTCGGTTACATGTGTTAAATTACCCATTTGAAAAAACATTTTATAGAAGAATACTATATGAGCTGTATTCGCTTCATCACGCTTCGTGTATGTGTGTGTCAACCTGTTCAACTTGAAGACGTTAAATAGATATTCAATTCTTAGAGTTGTTCAGAGTATTATCAAGGTGTCATATGCAATAATGTCAAGAAGTACTTGGAGGACATCCGAAGAAATGTTTACATGAAGTTAAAGGGAGTAAGATTTGATGCGTGATAGATGATGTGCAGAAAAACTACGAAGGACATTTAAGGGATGTAATGTTTTCCAATAAATTAGGAATAAACAGCTGCTTACATCCATTTGGTATCCCGTCGGCAGTGATTCCCAACCAGTTAGTGAGGGATCGAGCCCACCACTTGAATTTATGCAATATGGATTAAAAATTCACTTCAGGTAGGTAATGATTCGAAACCTACAGTATCGAACAGCTGGTGATACTCTTCATCAGAACGCACCTGTGACTCCAATTAGGATGGAACTCAGACACTGGAACGAAATCTACTGACCAACGTTTGAATTGCAACTTCTTCTAGTTCGCAATATACTGCCAGTCAGCCAGCTAATGTCATCGGCGAGTGTTTGTCTTCATACCTAACTTGGTGAGCTTTGCTGGTCATGACCGCCCGCTAGATATTCATGTAACTTCATCCTGTAGTTAGTCATAAGTCGGAGGTAGATTAATTTTCAAGTATTAGTTGAATTGTTTACGAGCTTACCTGGTAACCCGAAGGTTCGGAGTTCGGTCCCAAGGGTTTGTGATCATGCGGACCTACTGCTGAACAATAATGAGCGATGACGAATCAGCTGTTTACTATTCACTGATTTTCAGTGGTTCGCTGAATTTTAAAATCAATGAGATACTTGCATTTAGAAAGTTCAGTATCAATATCACTTCTGTGATAATAAAATAATGTTCTTGAGGTGAATTCTGCTAAATTCCAATGACAGTTTTCGACTGCGAGAATCTTCATATACGGTTGTGAAGATGACAGTAGGAATGTATTCTAAATAAACAGAAGTTTAGAATTTCAGACTACTGAATTCCCTCCTACTGATTGAATGCCACGGTGTCCTCCCACATCGATTCTGAGTTTGATTTTCAACCATGTTGTCAGTGGGTTCGTTACAAGAGTTCTCATCTGAAACAGCAGGATATTTTCACTACTTTTGTAACTAATGTGGCTTTATGGTTTAGCATACTTTGAAAGTAATCAGATGCATAAAAAGATCCACTGCCTAATTGTTTAAATAATCTTTCAACATCGTTTTTATTATTTGAAATTAGCAGTAATTTATTGTTTTTTTCTTATTACAGGAACGAAAAAGGATGAAGATAAAATTCAGACTAAGCTGTTCCGTACTACTTTGAAGTAAGCAGTATGAATAATTCAATTAATCAGTTGATTATTACTACTATTGCCTGGAGCTTCAAGTGGAACATAAGGCTTCAACCTGAGCCCATTTCTGTTTTGTCCTGCCTACTGCCATCCTCTTCAGCTTGGACCACGATTGCCCACAATATCTAATCTCCTCCTCGCCACACGATTTCCTTCATGTCACCCTCCCACCGATGACCCACTCGTTGCTTCTCATTGACATTCCACTCGATCACCGGCCTGCGTATCTTGCCTTTACGATTCTGGTTGGCTGGTTTGACATCTTTACCTGTGATGTCCGACTGCCTGTGGTTGAAACCGTGCTTCACAGATAAGTGAAGGCAGGAAGTAACCTCTGTTAAATCTCTCCCGTTGATGATGATTGATGCTGGTTGTTGTTGCTTTTGCTCTATGTTCACTGGAAGTTCCGTCTTCGCTGCCTGGTTCTTCAGCCAGCCTGTTGATTTTTGCCAGCAAGTTTCTGAGTTAAAATCTGCTCCTACTGCATTAGGGCTCTGGCTTCCACTGGTGACATCGTGATAACCAATCACTGTCTCAGTGTGCTCGTAGTTGTCGTCTGGGTGACCGAAGTAGATTACTGACTCACCAGTTGAGGATTTGAAAAGTCCACATCTGTTCCATCTGCTTTTGCAGATACCCAGTACTTCTACACCATATCTTCGAGTCTCGTTGGCCACTTAGACAGACTTCCCAACCAGCCTCGTGCATTGCACAGACATTCCACGTCCCTTTTCTTATTCTTGCTTTCATTGAGAGAAGACACATCGTCTGGCTGACTGGCTCCCCGAAGGTTGGTTTTCGGGATCCCGCTGTGTCATTTCTCCTCCCCGATTCCAGAGACGAATAAGATAGTTTCTCCTGCGATTTGATAGGTTAAGTGGTGTGTGGTTGCTAAACCTACACCCAACCCTCCCTGTTTACCCGGGTTTGAGACCGGAGAGACGACTAGTGAGCTAGTTAACTGGGCGAGGTTAGTAATTAGTTGAATTGAGATCCTTTTTTGTTACCAAATGTTACCATTCTGAAACATTTTACTCCGATTCACTCACACCTCATTGACGGCTCACAATAAATGCTTATATCTCACTGATTAGAATTTGAATGGTTTGAAATGATTAACACTTAACGGTGTACACTGCTGATTGGCAAAACAGTCGTTCAGTGTTGAGATCACTGCAGTTTAGCTACAAAGCTGTACTGTTTTGATGTAAATAGTTTACAACGTCTCACTACTTGCTTGCTTTCCTGCTTTCCATTTGCAGTATCAAATAGATCACATATCATGATCTGAATATTTTGATTTTTGATAAGAAAACCATTGTAACTAGGATCTATTCAGTTTTAAAATGAAAAATTTAGTCAGGTTAACGCACTGAAATAGACATAAAAGTATGTGAAATGGGAAGAAAGGCTTTGAATGCAGGAATCATGGCTTTGCACCTACCAACAACCCCAGCAGTCAGCAGATGTGCAGAAGGAAATAAAGATGGATTGGAAATACACTGAGAAGACATTCAATTGATTTAAGACGCCAGCCCCTTGAGGGAAAACCAAATCGGTGAGCAATGATTTGGGCGAGGTGAAAGCTTATGGGCATTCGCAGAGGCAACTAGAAATGATGTGGTTAAATGCAGTGTAACGTTCATGTGCCATCGAGGACCTATATTTTATTCAAAACGTGAGGAATCACTAGTAATTATATTTACGAAGAACACCTGTTGTCATGACATTCAACACAGAAGTTTGGGTATTATTGAAAAGAATTTCTTTTCGTAGACTTCATTTACGTAGCTATACAATCATATTTGAATGGGTTTTTTGACGGCAAGCGTATACAATGTGTTAATTAAGCGGTTATTCTACTATGGGGGATTCAATTTGTTTCAGGTTTGGTCACTAATTATCATCAGTTAGTGAACCACCGGGAACCAAGCAATACTGAACAACTGTTTCGTCCTAGTTTGGGACTCATCAACAGTATACACCCACTTTACCTTGGACCCAGGACCTTCCGACTACAAGTCAAGCTCATATACCATTCTGCCACTGAGACTTGATTCAGTCACCAATCAACTCCAACTGCTATCAATTCAGAGGGCAGAAGAAGTGGTTGGACTGATCCGTTTCGTATACATTCAGTGAATTTCTGTATGTGTGTAGGTGTGTGGCTAGTGTCTTAGCAGTACAAAGGATGCAGATGCTTGTCAAGTTCAGGAGATGTTGCCTTACTTTATAAATAATCTTCAGTGAAATGGCTGTTTTAGACACTGCTTAGGTTTTTAGGATCTGTTCAATAAGGGCACCTCTAATCGAATTACTGTTACCACTATGCAACCATGTAGGATGATGTTTCTTCGCCTGTTTTCATAACACTGACGTCAAGTGATCGATACACCCTGTTGTACAGTTATGCGAATGAATTCCTTTGAAATACAAACTGTCCATCTTTATTAGTGATGCTATTTAAAAAGCACAAACAACCTATTGTGGATCTTTGAAAATTTTTCGGATCATATTTAATGAATACAGACAGGTATGTATGAGTGACGGAAAACGGCATATTTTGGAATCTATCCATAAGATACATTTTCAAAGAAGGAGAGAACTAGTCGACATAAGTATGAAACTTGGGCACAGTGGTAGAGTGTAACTACATTATGGATAAGATTTTATTCTGATAAAGTGTCACACACTGTGTTGTTATACAGTAAGTAATATTTACTAATGACGTTGTTTGTAAAGGCTGGCTTAGCTACTGAGTGTCTAACAAACCGAGCAGTATAATCACTAAGTAGTACAACAAAAAACCTAAACGATGAAATGAAACTGATAGAAGAATAGCTGGTTGGTGTTAATTAACTAAATATCCTATAACATGCATTACGAACATCCAAAAAGGTCAAAGGCAAAATAAAAAATAATGGTGAAACTAACAGTGATAACATAAATAAGAAAGAATATAAGGCATCTACAGTTTTATCATATAAAGAGGGGACATCTGAGACTCGACGTGGTTGGGATCCTCAATAAAGCAGCAATTAGAGTGGCATTTAAACCTATCAACTCAATCAGGTAGGACAAGCTCTGTAGGTTTAAGGAACCCGTTGACCCAATTAAACAAAATAATCTAATTTACAAAATACCTTGCAATGACTGCGGGTTAAGTCGACTACACAGGTCAAACTAGTAGATCAGGGGTAGTGAAATTATCAGAACATAAGAATTTAGCTAAGGTTAGAATGATTGCTCTCACGAAGATAAGTAATTTAGAAAAAACTCAGCACTGCCTTGCACTGTATGCATTAACACACAACCACACAATAGAGTGAGTGGGACAGAGTTTAAAATCTAAGGAGTAATATAGGTAGGTGGAGAGAGAGGTTGATTACTGAATCCTAATTCATCGAGTCTACACTCCCAACACATGCGCAATAGAAGTGACTCAACGCAAATACCAGAGATATGGGAGATGAATAATGTTAAAATGTATTCAGTTCAGTTCACATTATAACATTCTAACAAGTTATTTATTTATTTTGACTATAAAAACACTCGTCTTATTTCCCATCTGATTGTATTTGATTGATAACACTAATATTATTATTTCTGAATGTACTTTATCTTATATTGATTTTTATTCAAATGTCTAATCATCAATTTTTACTCATGTATATAAATGAAGCAAGAAAGTTGTGTGAGTAGTGCCTTGATATAGATTATGAGCAGTAATAAATTGTGCTCGAAACGTGGTCATCAGTAAATATTACTTACTGTATAACACCACTGTGTGATTTTATCAAAATAAAATCTTATCCATAATAAAGAGAGAGAACTTGTCACTTCTCTAAACATCGCTGAGTGGAATTAATTTGATCTGCAGTTGGGTTATGGATTCACGGCTCTGAGCAGTCTCAAACTATGAAGAGACATCTTTCTAGTGTTTCCTGGTTTTCAGTGATCCTGGAAGCGGCCGTTTGAAATCTGTCCGATTCGATTTTGAATGCGATATTTACAGGTGTTTCAAACTTGTAAAATATTATTCTGTGTAATTAATATTTTTATACCTTGCAATTCTTTACACAATAACTTTGTTTGTTATTATTTTTGAAGGTTTGCACGAAGTGAATCTTTGGATCGTCCATCTGAGATGAATATTGAAGAAGCGAATGAGGATGTTTACTGCGAACCAATACAGATTCATTCCAATAAATTACTACAAAGCAGGTAAGTATGTATGTTAAACCGAATATCAGCATAATTTGTATTTGACTATGTATGACTATCCTAATTGGATAATCTAAGTATACGAACTTTCTAGTTTGTTTTCAGCGGAGAATTTTTTGCCAACGATTTGGCCATACAACCAAGAGATTCATTAACCTTACCCTACCCATATCTTGGTCACTAGGCAAACCTTGACATCGCCTGACTATAGAAAAGGGAATGTAACACTTCCATCTGTACTTGGATGGATTTAGGTAAGGAAGTACTTGGAGTTTATAAGAATAAAAACACAATATTCAGCAAAGAGACTCTCTCCAACAACGAATTTATTATCAAGCTGTTCTATCGTTTACATATAGTTTTTAAGAAATTTTATCCGGTGAAGGAATTATATCAAAGGTGTGGATACATGAAAAAATAATAGTATTATTATTCCCTTTTATTCCTAGAGGAATATAGGGCTTCAGCCCCACGTCTCCATTGCGTTCGCTTCTCTGCTAACTTTTTCACCTGGCTCAAAGTCTGTCCACATGATTTCATCTCCTCTTCACATCACCTCCTCCAAGTCACCCTCGCACTGACAACCAACTCGCCACTTCCCTTTCTTGTTCCACTCGAGCAATGGCTTTTCTAGTGATGTCACTTGATGATTTGTTTCCTCAGAGTATGGCCAATCCATCTCCATTTCTTCCTACTTACTTGTTGCGCAATTGGTTCCTGGTTGGTTCGCTCCCAGTGATCTCTGTTGCTGATCTTTTTTGGCCATTTGATCTTGAGTATTGAGCGAAGACAGTAGTTGATGAAGAGATAATAATAGTAGCATTACGAAATGCAATTAAAATTAACTGTGATTATAATCACAGTTAAATGTCAAGTAGAAAAACAATTGATGTCATATATAGAACAACACATAAGGTGTATAGATGTTGGAGAGGGGTGCATAATTATAGGATTAGTAGGCGAATATGAAATGTTACATAACATAGTATGAAATTGGATAAGAGGGAATTTAATATTGTAAAAAAATAATAATTTTGGATTTCGAATGACCAGTAGGACAAACGGAAACAATTCAGAGTGAGAATAATAATAATAATAATCGCAGTAATAAGGGAAAGGTACATAGGATAGTTACATAAACAAAATAAATAAATGTCTATCCCTCTACGGCCAAGGCAGAAGTAGGGATTGTACATTCTTCTTTTCTACACAAAAGTCTGCCTTAAAGTCATGAATTGCAAACGCCTCAGCTGTCTTTAGAAGTCCGTAATGAAGAAAACGCGGCAAGTTAGCATGGATTCGGTAGATGATCTTAAAATCATGGTCAGGGTTGGCAGAGTGACAGGAGTCGATCAGGTAATCTAGAATATTGATATTCATACACACTTCTTTTCTCCCTTGTAAAACCATGCTGCTGGAATATATTTTCGTATCCGTGTGGAAAGCGTCCTCTGGCTACAGCCAATGTACCTTGCTCCACAAGAGCAGGTGAACTGTGCGTCAGTGGCACAGTGGTTAGGACTCTCGCCGACCATGCACATGGTGGGGGTTCGATCCCCTGCCGGCGCACACCCGATATCAATGGTCTGCCTGCAAAATTGGGCTACCGATATCACATGCTGAAAATTCCATACTTGTACCGAAAATACGGTATGGAATCAAGCTGTAGTAAATAAAAAAACTGATAGGTGCACATGGAGGCGGCCATGCAAGGGAGCTTATGCTTTACGGAGATGGAGAACAACTTGTATCTGATGAACGTCATTTGTAATTTTGCTGCAAAGAACGTCTTACTGACTGATTCAGAGAGATGGTTTTTGAGGATATCTGAAGCTTGATCATCTTTGAATTCCGAATTCATGAATAAGGTTTTCTTTGCAACTTAGTTGGTGAGCAGTTTAGACTGCTTATCTTTCGTGTTTTTTTTCTTCACGTTCCCTAGTGAAACATAGGGCTTCAAGCTAGTGGCTTAACATTTCTGTAGCAGTGTTTATTTTACAGGATGCGGTTGCCAGCCTCATGCCCAACCTTTCCTCTTCACCAGCATTATTTCTGGCTTAGCAGGGTGAAGGAGTGCGTTGACCGGGGATCGAACCTCGAACCATGTGCTTGGTCGGCGAGCATCCTAACCACTATGCCACCGACGCACATCTTTCGTGTTACTATCAACAAATCGGTTCAGGTAACCGTTTTCTGTGAGCGTGTCTTTTGGAAAGGCAAGTTCTGAGTCAACGCAATCAGAACTACAAATGTTTCTTATCCTAAAGCACGGCGAATGAATTAGGTTCCTTTTCTTGGAGATAGGCACCTAACTATAAAAATTAGTTAGTTGTCCGTTCCATGTACGTTTCCTTTGGATGGATTTTTTTTAAGAATACATGAACTCAATACATTGCAGCCACCATGATCTGTTTCTTTCGGACAGCCGATTGCACACGATCCACCTTCTATCATCTCCAACCAGTAAAGATAGACAAATGGATCGTTCGTGATAATATGTCAGCGGCTCAACTAGATTCACTGCTTCCTCGATCTTCTGCAGATTAACCTGAACCTTAGAAAGGAATGGAGTAATCATTGAGAAACGGTTCGAACGACTTCCTCCGAAACCTCGTAAATGTTATATGCATACGTAACAATAAGAACACAATGTTAACTTGTACGTCAACATGGCAACTCAAGAAGGTTAGAGTCCATCAAATTGGAAACTTGCCAAGAAACATATGCTTAAAAGGAAGCAGATATTTATAAAGTGCAATTACAAGACACCTTGTGGATACGGGTCATTTCGTTGAGATTTCCAAATCCTTCAGAATAAGAATCCCTTAGAACACAATATTCTGCAACGAGACTCTTTTCAATCAATTTATTTTCAAGCTATAATTATGATATCTAGAAAACTTTATTCCGTGGGGAAATTTAAACAAAGGTTAGAATATTATAAATTATTTAAAATAATCCCAGCATGTTTAAGAACACAAAATCAAAACAAGATTTTTGTTCTAAAACACGCTGGGATTATTTTAAATAATTTATAATGAATCAATCTGATTCGGCGCTCAAATTGTTCAAGGAAATTCGTAACATCTACGATCTGGAAATTCATAAAGGATATTTTTATTGTTTCCTTTATTTCCTAGAGGAACATAGGGCCTCAGCCATGCGTCTCCATTGCGTTCGGTTCTATGCCAACGTTTTCATCTGGCTCCAAGTCTGCCCACATGCTTTCATCCCCTCTTCCCATAACCTTCTCCTTCATATCACCTTCGCACCGATGACCAACTCGCCACTAATGATGTCATTTTATGGTTTGTTTTCTCAGAGTATGGCCAATCCACCTCCATTACTTCCTGCATGTTTTTGCACAGCTGGTTCCTGCTGGATTGGTTCGTTCATTGACAGAGATCCCAGTTGCTGATCTCTTCTGGCCGGCCATCCTAAATTTGAGTAGTATTGAGCGAAGACAGCTGTTGATGAAGGTGTGTAGTTTGTTCGAAGTGGCGCCAAGTTTCTGATCCATATAGTAAGTAGTACTGACTTCACATCGTAGTTGAAAATCCTGATCTTATTTTCATTTTTATGCTGGGTAGGGTTGTTTATCTTCACACAGACTTGAGAGTAATTAAAGCTTGCCTTGCTTTCCCGTTCCTCAATGCTTTGATATCCTCATTAGTTCCGTTCAACTGTGGTTGGAACGATGCTTCCCTTGTCGATCGGCCGGTGAAGGAGGTTGCTTCTTTCAGATTTCTCTCATCTGTGCTAATTGTTGTCCGTTCTTATTGCTGTTTCTGTTGTCGTTGGCCAGGAATCTTCATCAGCCACTTCTGTTTCCTCTATGTTAACCTGAAGTCCTATCTTCCCTGGATGCTTCCTCTGCCAACTTGTTGCTTTTCACTTGCATATCTTCCAGTTTATGGGAAATCAGACATATATCACATCCGCGAAGTCCAGATCCTCGACGTTTTTTGTGTGAGTCCATTTTATGCCTGTTTCCTCATTACCTACCTCTGTCTGTCGCATTATTCAGTCTATGGCTATCAGGAAAATCATTGAAGATAGTAGTCAGCCTTTCTTGTCTCACTCCCATCTTCAATTCAAAGTTATAGAGGTTAGAATGATTAAAATGATACTAATAAAACTAAATCCTGTAAAATGTTTGTGAACATCATTATAGTACTCAGTATTGAGCGACAAAACAAGTAATGCCATATACGAAATATAGTTCATACAATGTAGACAGCTTGCGGAGGGATGTAAAATTAATAGTAATAATAATTATTTAAATCATCTGCTCTATTTCAAAATGCAGTACTTACAATACAGCATGGAATTCTCAGTATGTTTCACCAGATCGCATCTAATTTATTCGAAACAGAAATAAAATTATCCACAGGAACTTTTCCACATTTACAGTAGGAATAATGTCAGAAATGTGCAAAGTACAAAATGAGAATAATAACTATAGCAATGATAATAACAGTGGGTTTTTTTCAAAAACAGTATTGTCAATACAGTATGGAAAATTTAGCATGTTATAGTGTAGTATTGAATCTAATGTTCTCTTCAGATATAGCATGGTGACGGGAAAAACAAAAAATAACAATTATTACAGAGCTCTAATGATGTTTACATTTATGAGAAAATAAACAAAAACAAGTGAGAGAGTTGTTAATATAAGAATAAGAATAAGATTATAGCTTATTGGTATAAGGATGGAGAAAATTTTTTATTTACTAATAGAAAGAAGGTTAGTTAGTTCATGTCTGACACTATTTTCATCACATTAAATATGCGCCAAATATGGTATCGTGGAATTTTGTATTATTATTATGATTGTTTCCTTTAATTCCTAGGGGAACATAGGGCTTCAGCCGTGCGTCTCCATTGAGTTCGGTTCTTTGCTAGAGTCTTCACCTGGCTCCATGTCTGACCACACGTTTTCATCTTCTCTTCACATGACTTACTCCAAGTCACCCACCATCGCACTGATGACCAACTCG